AAGCTACAGGTGTTTCTTTTATGTAACTTCATTAATTTTTATGGCAAATTGTATGCATTTTAGACATATTTTATATTTTTTAGCTAAATTATTATGTTTTATAATTATTATATATATATTTTTTTATTATATGACCAGTATAACTAGCTGATCCAACGGTTGAACCAGTAAACCATAACTCGGTCTCCTTGTCAGTTCAATGACTGGTTTGGTTATTGAGTAGAAGAATCAATTTAGGAGATAAAGCGCTTGACAAACTCTTCCTCCCTAAATCCTATTTTCTCCTAAATTTTAATTATTTAATTGACCTCCTCCGATTAAATTTCACATGCAGCCTATGTAACTACTTCCAACTTTTTGATTACTTCATATTAGAACATCACCTTTATTAACTATTTGCATATAAATTTATATAAAATATCAATTTAGCAAATTAATAAATAATTTTCTAGTAATGTTAAGATAGGGTGAGGTTATAGGTGGTGATGGGATGGGAGTAGGCGTGGCGGTAGAGATAAAAAATATATTTCAAATTTCGTGCATTACACCGGACGACCACTAGTTTATATATAATAAAAATTATATCTTTTTTTTTTTTGGAGGGGGGGGGGAGGGGGGAGAATTTGAGAAGTCTTCCTTCCCTACTTTCTTTTCTTAGAGTTTAATTTTTTTTTGAACTGAAAAATAAAATTTTCTACAACTAAAATCTTTTGCATGTCATACTAACCACTCATTCAACTCAGCCATTACACCATGTCGGTATCTAATTAGAAAATAGCGAATATAATAAAATATGACTCATTTTCTATCATGGAAGTAGAAAATTTTTAGGGCGGGTACATTGGCATATTTTAATTTTTTTTAATAGACCGTAAAAGTTCATAAATTTATATTTATTAAAATTATATTTAATACTTTTTAAACATAGAAGATTAAAAATTAATATACTCATACAAAAAAAAATAATAATTAAAACTTCTTATTGAGAATGCGACTAATTATTATTACTTATAATTGACCATGGTATGTTTTTATTATTTGAAAGAATTACAAATTAATTTTATCAATAATATTTTTTTTATATATAAAATTGAGGTAATAATCTTCTATTTATGATCCTATAGTTTACTACATAACGATACACATTTTTATACAATAACGAAATAACCCTATAATTTAAAAAAAACTATAAAATAACATAAATATGTTCAAAACATATTCGTACATGTCTAAAACATGTCTAAAAGTTAACAATTATATTAGTCGTACCTAATTAAAGATTTAATTGATGAAAATTCAATGGTATTGGTTTGTGACCATTGGATAGATAGTAGAGTTTATTAAATATTAAGACTCGCTATTATACTAATATCGCAATGCATTAAGTCGTTAAATTAAGTTTTAATTACATTGTTCAAAAAATTAACAATCATTTAAGTAGAGGTCTATTTAAATCAATATCACTAAAACACAATATTAAAGTAGACATAATTAAATATGTCTGAATTTTATTTTAAATAATACATATTTAATATGAAGCAAAAAAAATTGAGGAGGGCATGTGTCCACCCTAACCTAAGGGTGGCTCCGTTCGTGAGTGGTTATGTATTACATGACTGAATAGTTATAGTAATACCCTTTTATTGACTTATTTACCTATTAATTGACTTAGACCCAATATTTTTCATTTAACTTACCATTCCATATATAAATGTTGACCATATATGCTTTAATCCAACTTTCCCTTTATCTATAACTCCTTATCTTCTGTCTTTTAACTTTTCTAAATATTCCAAAATATCAAGATCAGTGAAGCCGACAGAACCGATACCAAATGTCAATCTCATACGAGTAATGCTATTTAGATCTAAAAATTTGATCTAATTTGTTGACATAATGATGTAATTTAATAGAAATCATTAGATCAATACCAAGTTCTAATGTTTGATGGGACCTACAATCAATCTAAAAGTCACAATAAACTAAGTCAACAAATTAGGTCAATTTTTAATCCCAATAATATTGCTCGTCTCATACATCGCAGCGAGTAGTAATCCTATTATTAGAATTAGACATAAAAACAAGGGGGCCAAACAAATCAATAATGTTCATATGTGTGGGTCCATATGTTCATGTACGAGGAAAAAAGCACATGCCTACCTGAGATAAGATCAACGAAAACGAATAGGGTGTTTCTTCTACCTGCAACACGAACAACTGAAACATACTGGAATTTAACTGGTCGGACACACTCCGATATTTTTAAGCTAGTAAGGGATCTAAAATTAAACAAGTAAATTTCAGTAAAAAAAATGCAAACATTTGACGTAAGCCTAACCTATATTTGTACGACCATGCCTCGATTTTTTAAAATTCTGGTTGGAATATGATGGCACACCAAAATCCAATTATACCGTCGTTAGTTTATGTTTGAACTTTTCTAGGTTTCTTTTCTTTATTCATCTTTCTTCACCGGCTTTGGTTGTTAGTAATAGTTAACTACCATTTGCTCGGATGGATCTTGCCATTATCCTTTGTATTGTGGAACCAAAGTATCATTCAAGTACTAATTTATTTTAAGTATCTTTGATTAAATCTCTCATATCTGCATTTGATATGCACCTATTCTTTGAGAGTTTTGCTAACTAAACCGATCATTGAAGGTGATTTCAATTTTAGTTGGCTGGCACTGAGGACCCGTATTTAGCTTGGCCAGAGGCACTATGTCTCACCAAATGGCTCTCTCTAGTTTTTGACATATTTGCATGCAATGTATCTTTATTAAATAGTCTAATCATGAACGAGGATATTCTTCTCAGCCCTTTTTAGTTCTAAAGTTTTTAATAGATAAAAAATAATTCTATTTGGATATAAAAATTTGGTGTTTGTTTAACATGATAATGCTGAAAAATAATAGAAAGTAAATTCCGAACTCACAAAATTTTCTAGTGAACTGTAGTTATTATTTCTTGCACAATCTATAAGGAAATAAATTTTTTTTATTTGAAGAGGCATATTTGGTTTTCCACTTTGTCCATGTTTTCTCCCATGTTGGTCATTATCTATTGCATATAAATCTCTCTAATATAAATAAGGGTAATATTAATATTTAAAAATATTTTATAGTAGCTTTCCTACTTTTCAAATTATAGAATACATATTTTATGCTAATTAAATACATACAAAAAAATATATTTTATTTTATTTTCACTTTCTACCGTTAATTTCTATCAATATTTTCTTCCTAAACATATCCCTAATAGATTAGATACCGTGAATAATACTAGAATCTTTGACAGAAAATGGAGCTTTTTTCTTTTTTGGGTAATGCTGTGGGAACCAATGCGGTACTATACTTCGATCAATCTTACTCATTGTTTTTGAACTGGATCATCTGTAATGTACTTTTGTTAATTAAAAAGTAAAATACGGTATCAAAAAAAAATACTTTCGGTAGCTTAATCGGATTCTTTCTTTTTGAGGTTTATTCAAAGTTGAAAAGGTGTTCTGGGTTGGGTGAAGTTGAAAGTTAAAATGCAGGCACTGTTATCCAAAAGCAGGAGAGAGAGAGAGAGAGTGAGAGGTTTGAAAAGGAACATAAAGACAAGAGTAAAGAAGAGAAAGATACTAGTCTCCAGGTTGGGATTACCAAGGTATACATGCACATTTTGGTGGCTCCTTCCTCCAACATTCAAAATCACTTTCTTGTCCACTTCCCTCAGCCCCCCACCCCCCAACAGATATACTATCATAGTTACAGTCAGCTCCATCCCCTTTAATTCAAACTTTTAAACTCTCTCTCTCTCTCTCTCTCTCTCTCTCGCCTTGTTGGTAGTAAAGTTCTTCCTCAGTCACACAGACATTATTCCACTTATAAATAGCATCCCACACCCTGGATCAAAAGTTTATTCTTCATCTACATATGGGTGTTTCTTCCTGTGTCCTCAAATCTCTTGCAGATTTCACGGTGAGATTCATGTCTTAGTTGTTGTTCCTACTTTTTTCGTTTTGGTTGTATGTGTAGATCCTAATGGGTTTTCCATTAAGAAACTTACGATTTGTTCTTAGTAAGAAATCCAAAAAAAGAAAAACTTTACTTACCAGAAATCTATGAATATATGAAGTTTGGAAACATTCGATCCTTCCAACACCGAAGATTTGTAAGATCCCAGAGATTATTGTCTTCTCCTCTGTTTGATGCATTCAAATTTGTCGTTATATAGTTGGGATCTGTTTGAGAGAGAAAGAGAGAGAGAGAGAGAGATCCCTTTAAGTTCCCATAATGTCACAAACGTCAGTTATTGAAATTTGTGTTCCAGAAACTTCAATTATCTTTATTTTTGTGTCTACAATCCCTACCTACATTTCGCATTGGTCGAAATATTTCTATTTTTTAGGAGACTAAAACGATTCAATGATAAAATTAAAATTTTTATAATATTTTAAGATGTTTTGTAATATTTTAATGCATTTACACAATTATTTTGAAATTTTTATAGTATTTCAAGATATTTTGATATATATCAACCAATATTTTTGAAAAATAATTCTTAATTTTTTATTTTTTTTCATTATGTTTCTAAAACGAGTTAAAATATTTTCAAAATACGTCGAAATGTTTCCGTTTCTTAGGTGACCGAAATAATGCACCAAAACGAAATTTTGATCCCCGCTATGAATGTGACATTTTGAATCGTATATCCATCTGAAATTCAGAATGTTACATTTTTTCTCCTTGAACTGTAAAAACTGATAATTGATTTTGTTTTGCAGATCACTGTCTCTTGAATAGTTACTGCTGCTTGTCACTCTTCTTTAATCAATTGCCTTTTAAGTGGTCAAATGCCAAGATCAAGGTTAGAGATGGTGTCTCCTCTGGCATTTGTCCGTTCTTTTTGTATTTTTTCAACCAATAATTTGGTTCTTGAGAGTTTTTATGTACTAATGCCTCAACCCTATGCTGCTAGTTTCACTTGTTGCCTCTTTGTGCAATCTGGTTAATGAGGTTTTCAATCATGCCAACATTAGATGTGAATTTTCCTACATGTTTATATAAATGGCTACAAACGCTATTCGATAAATTTGCTAAAGCAAATTTGTGACGACCTGGTGTGTGTTGAACCCCACGTTGGAAGTTTGCGCAGAGATTGTGACAACATGACATGTCCTGAATCCCACTTTGGAAGTTTACTCAGAGATCTTGGGTATCTCTGTAGGAACAATGACTCCAAACGACAGCAATCTTTTGCATTATGTGTGATAATCTTCATACTATAATTATCTAAATCCTTATAACATCCATTGGCTTGGTATGAAAAATGGCTTGTTAGTCTTTTAACTTGATGTTTGGTAATTGAAGCCTAGATATCTTTTGAAATGCAGTCACTGATGTTTGAGCTGTGATCATATCTTACTTCATTTCCCTCACTTTTATAGCTTTAAAGGGTGTTTGACGGAAATATGTTGATGTTATTTGTGGTACAGGGGATCGGAAATGCCTCAAAGGCAATCTCCCCGAGGACCGCCTCCACTAAGGACATCAAGCTCGAATTCCGATCCTCTACATAATCGACCGATAACTGAGAGGAACCCGAAGCTAGGAGATCGTCGATCTCCAAGGGGTGCTCAATCTGATTCAGTGAATCAAAAGAAACTGGGGACACGGATTGCAGATTTGGAATCTCAACTTGGGCAGGCACAGCGGGAACTAGGGATTTTGAAAGAGCAATTAGGCTCAGCTGAGGTTGCAAAGAAAGAAGCTCAAGAAGAATTAGAGAAAAAAGCCAAGAAACCAATTGTCTCAGAGCCAGTGGAAATCCCAGAAAATCACCACCCTCCAACTGAAAACCAAGAATCCAACATAATGGGGAGCAGTGCAGCAAATGAAATCCCTGACGACGGCCAGGGGGAAACTGATGTTTTTGAGGTTCCGGCTGAAAAAGTGGCGGTGGAGCCTAAAGTCGAGTTTGGCCAATCAACTGATCAAGAAGAGCTCAAGACCAAACAAGTCAGCATATCAACTGAATCACAAGTCAATTCAGAGCCAGAGAAGCCATCATTCGATGAATTGGCTTTAAAGAACGATGAGATAAATTCACTGAAAGCCAAGTTAGAGGATAAGGAAAAAGAATTAGAAGTGTTCGGCCAGGAAAATGAGGGACTAAAATGCCAGTTGTGTGAAGCAGCAATCCAAAAATCATCTGCTCGAACCAAGGAAGAGGAAATGACATTAAGGTTGAACCAACTTGGACAGGAACTGGAAACAAGTAAAAGCAGTGCAGTTCAATTAAAGGTAAAGCTGGAAGCTGCGGAAACAGCGAAGGAGGCATTGGAAACTGAAATGAAGAAGCTTAAGGTACAGACGGAGCAATGGAGAAAGGCTGCTGATGCTGCTGCAGCAGTGCTAGCTGGGGATGTGCAGATGAGTGGCAGAAAAATATCTGAGAGATGCGGTTCCATGGACAAGCAATTAGGCGGTGTCTTTGACCCACAAGTTGGTGGATACACTGGTTTTGGTGATGATGAGTCTGATGAGAGTTTTGTAAGTGGAAAGAGGAAAGGCTCTGGTATTAGAATGCTTGGAGACCTATGGAAAAAGAAGGGTCAGAAATAAAAATCTCTGTCGTGCCATTCCTCTTTCCTTTTTGACCACTTACTTTTGAACCCTCTTTCATTGTTTTGTTGCCTTTGCTGTCAAATGGTTGATTTACCATTTTGTAATAGTGTGCCCTACACCTTGTCAAGTACTGTAATTTGTTTAAGTCTTTAGTGATCCACAGCTCTTAGGCTAATTGCGAGTCGATGACACTTGTATGGAAATTGTTGTTTTTGGAGATTTCTTTCCTAATGTGCTTATTCTTGTCTGTCCAGTGCCCTCTACAATGTTTTTTCATGCAGTTATGTTAGTGATGAATTAAGTGATGCAAAAGAGACTAACATTGATGTGATTGTATTATGTTCCTGCCCTTACAAGTGGTTGCAAGTTTTGTATTAAGTTTTGCCACAAGTTATGTCAAGTTTTGCACGATTATCCTTGCTCAAATGTTTATATAAGAACTTTCAATAGCTAATTTCACAACGAACGAGCATTAGTTCTGCAAGAGAGTGAAAGTTCAGTGTCATTCAGACAGGAACAGTGGAGTCCAATTGGAAGTATGTACGACTGCTCAAATTTTACTTTTGAAGTGGTCCAAGCCCCCTCAAGCTCCACTTGATTGCAATGTCACCTACATCAGAGAGACCTGTTACCACATCGCAGGAACCAAGTTACAATAGAATTTTCATCAATTTTTTTTATCATTCCCAGCGTAATTTCAACCAGAATCTATGAGGGCATTATCGCTTTTGATCTTGGAAATATGGTACATACACACCTTCATGGTAGTAAAACGTGACGCAATAAAGAACAGATCTGCACAAGTAGCTCCAGACATAGCGGCAAGACTTGCATTTGCTAATGAATCATCAGCTTAAAGAAAAGCATCGTTTTTTACCCCAACTGGAATTTATGAATAGGCCAGCGGCCTTTTCTGCTTCAGTAGCTAACTAACAAACTAATTGTCTTCTTCGCTATCATATTGTTGGCATAGCGAATGTAATCCATTGCTTGTAATGTTTGTTGCATTATGTTCTTCCTCTTGCCCGCTCTCCTCCGCTTTTGCTGGCTTGTTATCATTGGAAGCTGAAGGCATTTTTTTGACAGCAGAAACTCTAACCGATGATGACCTGAAAATAAATTTACCACCACCGGAAGCTCCAGAAGCCGCTGGATCTCCTGTCAGCATCCATGCAGATAACAAATTTGAGTCCAACACAAATTCCAGCATCCCTATGCAATAAACAATATGCAGTTTGCCTATTTTCTGTTACAGCTGCCAGGGAAGAGGAGGGGGAGAAAGGGAGGATCCTAAATTCCAAGGGTAATGAAATGGACTTAATACCACAGGATAAACAGGAGAGAATAAGAGAAAAGAAGAAAAAACCAAGGCGGAAAAAACTCATTACTTCACATGCCCTCAACATTCTAGAGATACCATGAACAAATACCTGTAGCTACCTAGACATTACAGATTTGATCAAGCACATTAACTATACAAGCTATAATGGAGAAACTCAACCAACCTTTGATGTTGGAATTGTCAACAACGCTTGTTTTTGTGAGGTAATCTGTTGGGTTACCAGATAGATCTTCAGAAACCTTTATCCTCTGCACGAAAAATATAAAAAGCATGGAATTCATTTTAGCGTCAAGTTTATTTGAACTTTCAGTGTACACATGAATATAAAAGAACATTTTGAGTGTTCCTTGGAAGCATAGAATTTTTTGGAATCCATTACCAGAGACCGAAAATAGTGGCATGTTTCAAAAGTGGAAGCATACAATTTTTTGGAATTCATTACAAGAGGCTGAATATAGTGGCATATTTCAAAACTGGGAGCATGACAAGTGTAGGCAAGAGCAGGTGAACGAGATGTTCGACATTACTTATTTATTTATTATTTTTTTTTGAACATCAAAAGGATGCATCAGTTTGCACAATCAGATAAATGTCCAGATAGTCCCTAGAATAAGTAAAGCTAGCATCATGCCTTTGAATTATTGCTTGATGTTTCCCCATTGTCTGCAGCAAACAAAGTCAAATCCTCATCATCACTAAAATCTTCATCATGAATCCTTCGGACAACTCTTGATCCCTGCGTAAAATAATTGAAAGCAAATGAAACAAATGAGAGAGAGCGCTAACTGGAAACCACAAGACCATATGCTTACCTTTTTTTTTTGATCCAAACCATATGCTTACCTGAAATATGGATTTTATCAAAGCTTCATCCTCTTCTTCCAATTTTTTCTCTTCTTCTTCCAATTTTTTTTCCTGTCAATATACAGATCCAAGAATATAGTCAAAATTCAATCATTACAGAAACATAATACACAAAACTCATGTGTCTATATCAGTTCAATATAATACCCACAGAAATATTTAAACTAGATGCAGTAATAATCACGCTATAACACCCTCTTGTGGGAATAAAAAAATTAATTCTAGAAAGAATTTATCCTCTCATACATTTCATGTGATGTTTAGGAGGCTCAATGCCCTCAAAAAATTTTGAAAAGTCGTTGAACAAAATAGCACACCCTAGTGTCTCATTATACACGAAACAATGAGCTCTCCAAAATAAGTATACAAATATGAACATTACCCCATTTGAACAGCGAATCTCACAATAATTTTCAAATGTTCCAAATGGATGAATCCTTCTAGGTGGAGGGTTTTACGTAGATCACAGTTATATTCTGTAAAGTTTGGAATAGAAAAAAATTTGATAGAAAACTAAGTGAAAGATAGGAAGGTAAACATTAACCCTACCTCACACTCTCAATTCATATATATATATATAGTTATCATAATAAACTTGAAAAGACTAATGTACCCATAAGTTTTATATTTATTACAAGAATAAATAAATCATACTATGTAACATAATCAAAATGGCGGCTTCTCAACTAGTAATCCAACATGCCATCTCTCTAGGATGAGAAAACACCATGCTAGATTGAGACTGACCATCCAGACCAAGTATTACCCTACATGCTCAGGAAATCAATGTTCAAAAATAGCACTACAACCAGACATGCCAACAATGTACTACTGTTTTGTCTCATGAAAATGTAAAAGTGTATCACCAGTTAAACAGTATGAGATAACTAATTTGAACAACGATGAACCATAAAGTGTTGGAAATACAAAAATAACACACTCATATCGAGAAAATTATTTGAAGCCTCTTCACATATGCCGAAGAATAAGACATGAGAAAATTGTTTATTTGAGTTACTTTGAATGAAATGTTTTCAGAAGAAGAGTAGTCCAAATCCAGCCGATTACAGTCCAAGTTGAATTCAAAACACCTGAATCCAGTCTAACCTCCTGCCAACTTAGGAGGTTCAAATTTGTTTTGCCCACTTAATATATTATAATTACACACTACGCTGTGATGCCTTCTTAATAACTCACCCAAGGTAGGAAACTTGAGATTATTATCTCACCTTCTCCTCCTGAGTTTGGCGCTGCAGGGCCTCAAGCATTGCATCTACACTCACAGTAGCATGTCTTGACTGAAAATTGAAGAAAAGCTTGTTTTAGTATCCAGAAAACACATAAATTCAAGTACAGATTAATGCCAATATGCATAAAAAATTGCAAAAAAATGTAACACAGCTTAAAGTGTAACACAGCTTAAATATAAGATTATCCTCCATAGGAACTTAACAAGATTACAAAATTTTGGTTATCAAAAATAAATCAAGGATAAAATATAAACAAACTCATAATTTTCGGTCTTTGAAAAGTATGGAGAAGCATCTATGAAGGAATGCAACAACTAATATGTCACTTGGGGACTTCAAAAAGGCACATGCCAAATACCGACAAGTCCCTTAATTAAATAGTCACCTTCATGGACTTCATTTCGTCCAGTGCAGCAAGGATGTCCATTTCTCTTTTTGAGTCCAAGGTTCTATTCTCCAAAGACTTCATTGCATCTCCCATCTCTTCAGCATCCCTTTTGCGTTTCTCATTCTCTACTTCCTGGGAGAAAAACAATATTAATTATTGTATGAAACCCTGAACTTTGTTAAGAACAATATATGGAGACCTAAGAATGAAATTTTAGTCATATATAAATATGCTAATATCTTGCCTCATCCTCGGCACGCCAAGGTTCGAAATTCCGCATTGCACCGGACTCAACAACATAGTCTGAATTCTGTGGATCTGTCTTCATAGTAATCTCGGCTGAGCACTTAGTGCACTTGAAATAGAACCTGAATATCTGGATTCCCAAATATGTCTGCAAATAATTTACAACAATCACAAGTGAGCATAACCACCAATATATATCCAAATCTTAGAACCTGAATATCTGGATTCCCCAGGATGTCTGCAAATAATTTACAACAATTACAAGTGAGAATAACCACCAATACATATCCAAATCTCATTTTCAAGTCAAGTTATGCATAGATTGTACTAGCATTGATGATGTTTATTCCACCTAAGTTGCTTAACTGTCTCACATTGCAACTCACACCAACCTAGACGCCCCAACCAAACCTGAATTGTTTCATTAAACCTCCATATTTAACACCTCCTCCCCCAAAAGAAAAAAAAAACCCCAAAAAAAAATCCCCAAAATTCACGGCAACAGCTAATCAGAGCATCTATTAATACAGGCTCTAATTTACAGGCAGCCCAAAAAATATTATCTGTAATTTCAAACATAAACCAACAAAAAAATATCTGTAATTTCAGAGACAAACCAAATATACAAACATACAAATCTCAGTAATTCAATGGCTCGATTTGCACTAAAACCCTACATTCCATAATTCTCACTAATTTCTAAAGAAATATAAATTTCAAGTGCAAACAATGCATTCAATCTAACAAATACCGAGTAGCAAATTGATAGATAAAATTTCAGAATAAATAATATATGTTTAAATACCTCGCCAATGACGTCTTCTTTGCGCGAATTGAACTTGGTCCCTTTGTAGATGTAATTGCCACAAGTATTGCATCTAATGCTCATGGGAAGCATCATCCTAACCTTAATCTGCTGGTTCTTAGGTTGTCTTCGCCTAGGTATCTTCGCCGGATCGAAGTCCGGCGGATAGTACTTGTTCAACACCTTTCTCTCTCCCATGTCTTCTAAAGACTAGACAATCAAATTAACGATTTCAGAAACAAAAAAGATTCACGCAAAATACACGGCAACTTTCTTCCTCTTCCTTCTTCCTTCTTTTTCTTCGCCGAGTTCCAATAGAAAACCTTTCACCGATGCAGTCTCGTTGTGTAGTATACCTAGAAAGAATGAAAAGGAAACAAAAACTAAGAAACAAATTAAATGAATGGAAAAGATTAAAAAAAAATCTGCTCTTAATTGCATAATTATTGAAATTGGTAATCTCAGCAATGTTGAATATTGAAATAGCCCAAAATTTATACAAATAACCTAAATCTACACTAATAGCAGAGAGACCCCGAGAGAGAAACGGTGATGTATATACCTGCTGTGTCTCAGACTCTCGAGTGAAGGATCAAGGACGATCTGCTGTGCCTTTAGTTCGTTCGAGTTCGATTGAGTGTCCTGCCTTTGTAGCTAATGAAGATCTGAGTCATCTGATTGTTCGACACTTCAATTGAGAGAGATGACTGACTGAGTGAGTCGTCGCCTCGTTGGAGTCTAGGACGCACGAGAAGGAGAGGCAGAGTGGAGAAACAAAGATCGATCAAATTTGGGTAAAAGTGCCCTAAAACCTGGTTTTTATCGTATTTACATTGATCCGTCCACTTTGTTGAAAACCTTCCGGTTCAGAGGTTTGGTAAGGAACCGGCCAGATCATCGGATTTCGTCCGGCTCCTATACTCAAAAGATCTATCAACATAACCGGGCCCAATTCACCAGGTTATCGACTTGACTAGAGATGGCAATAAATCGAAAAAAAATAGGTATTTATCCAAATTTATTTTATTTGGACCGGAGATAGACTATATATATCGGACGGTGAACATATACAGAAATACCTGTATAAACTCATACGTAAATGAAGGCGGGGATGAACTTACTATTATCCCCGCCCCGTTATATATATATATGTTCTTCCACATTCCTCTTTTCTCCTCCTCCACATGTATCAAGCAAGAGTGTATGTACCGAAATTAACTAAAAATGTTATTATGTGGCATTTGAAACATCACTTTTGTTCTATGTTATTTTTTCATGCAAGTATATCTCTTTTATTCTATGTTCTTCCATATTCTTTTTTTCTTCGCCTCCACATGTATCAAACAAGAGTGTATGTACTAGAATTAACTAAAAATGTTGTTATGTGGCATTTCAAATATCACTTTTTTATATAATTCTGTTTTCCTGACTATTTTTGTGAGTAGCATGAGTAATTCAATACTTAATGCGTCAATGATTGTTATATTACTGGTTGCAATACAGGGGCAACAATTGTTTTGGAGCCTTGGGAGAATTGAGAGAGCACTAAAACAATAACTACGAGTTTAAACCACATTTCATATATGAATTTGTTTGGCTCTTAGAAGGCAGCCTTTGCGACAGGATTATTGGCACCTAAGAGGCTGCCTTTGTGATAGGATAATAGCTATGAGATCTCTTTCACAAGCACTTTGTTGCCCAAAAGACTTAGTTTTTTGCTAGCCTCTAGTTTCTATAAGTGGCTGCAGTATACCTCTAGTTTTTTAGACAATTGTTGTTTGTGTTGTGTTGGAATATGTTGTGCTACATTTATGTTGTGTTAGATTATGTTAAACTATTTAGAATGTTGTTGGATTATTTAAAATTTTGGATTTATTTAAAATTTTGAATAATGTTAACTTGAACTTGGGCTTAGACTTGAGCTTAAGCTTAGGCTTGGGCTTGGGCTTGGGCTTGGGCTTGAGCTTGGGTTTGGGCGGGGACGGGAACGTGGATTAGAAATTTACCCGCAGACAGATATGTAGATGAAAATTATACCCGTTAACGGGGGTAGACCGGCGATAGACGAAGATTTTTTAAGCGAATACAGGAATGAAAACTATACCCCCCGCCCACGTTTCGGTCCATTGACATCCCTAGACTTGACCCGTCTGGCTAGATCAGATTCTATAACTCGACTTGTAATTAACTCCTGTTTATGTTTTTAATTTGTATGTTATTGACTTTTGTTTAATAATTTTGTATGGAATGTGATGTAATAAACATATTTATATTATTTTAATTGTATTATTTTGAGGAAAAAATTAAACTTTGTAGTTAAAATATCTGTCCAAAAAATAAATTTATAGCTCTACCCTTGTAAATCACATTGGATGGTACTAAATCCAGCAGAAATGCTATGTGCACCCAATGTATGCACCAAAATCTTTATACCAAATAATGTCTCACAAGTATAAGCATTCAATGTTTAGGAAATATGAGTGGGACACAATAATCCCACAATCCATGTTAATTTAGTGCAAGATATATGGCAATTTTTTTTCATCAGTATAGTATTATCTTAAATGTAACCAATTTCTGCTATATAACCCGAAATAGGTGGCCTATTTACATTTGTGCTTAATAGAGTTTGTGTCGTGTTATGTGTGGTTGAGTTCGTGCTACTTAATTGTTCTAATTAACGTTTGAGTTCATTAAGTTTAAATGGGCTGAGTTCATATCAAATTGTTTACAATTTCTTTGGTTGAAAGCAATATCACAATAGAAGATGGCCTTTAAAAAGGGATCTCACTCCACATGAGGAAAACTAATCTTTACACCTTCCCCTAACTTTTCGTAGGATTTATTTTATGTCCCTTCAACTTATAATGCATCTCAAGTTCAAACTAACTGGAGATTCAGACTCAGTTTGGAAATGTTTTTTTTTACTAAAAGACATAATAAACATGGATTAAACGTCAAAAATCTATCTAAATTTACTAAGTAGGATTTATATTCTAGTCATTTCAAATTTAGGAGAAAAAGTTCAATTATAATTTTATGGAAAACCATTGAAAAAATGTCGTGCCCATATACGTTTTTGTTCTTTTCCACCCCTAATTTTGGGGGAGAAAAAGGAGGGGAGAGAGGGGTTACATGTATCTAAATGGCTTATAATTGAGTATTGTGTGTGAGAATTTCACATCGAATAAAAAAATATGTTAAAGTATCTTAACATACAATGAATGGACTTAACCCCCTAAAACCTTATTTTGTTGTATTGATGTATATTTTAGACTTGATCAGTGGCAAATTCAACGAGTCTTCGAGGCATTCTTGACGTGGGAACAATACCGAAAGAGCGAGATAGACACAACGTAGCGTTGACTCTCTTTCTCTCTCTCTCTCTTTTTTTTTAGGGAGAGAGGAAGAAAAATTGAACCCTTGACCTGAAGAAGATAAAACTTTTACCAAGTAAAAAGTACTATTGGACCAAAGGTCCATTGGTGCATTCACTCTCTTATTCTTGCTTTTTGCAAGTTATCTCTTCATTTAAGAAGGTTGATTATATGAAATTTGAGGAGATGGTATGTGATGCACTCATTCCCTCCTTTTTTGAAAGTGGAAATTCACATTGAAAGTAGATACAAAATTCATACAAACATATACAAACTAATTTCTTTACCTCTTACGAGTCACGACCATTATTCCTTACTCGTAAACATGGCTGAAAGTGTAGTTTTTCTAGCAATTGGGGTTTTTTGTAACCTCTTAGCACTCTCCCATCTCCCTTCCATTCTTTCAAAGCCAAGTGGTTTTAGCTTAAAGCTCATCCATAGAGATTCACCAGAGTCTCCTTTACACACAACAAACCTTACCACCCTAGAAAGATTTCGAAGAGATCTTGAAATTTCAAAATCTAGAGCATTTTATTTTCAATCGATAAGAAAATTTACGATTAGAAAAGAAAGTTGTCTTCCAGAAGCGATTCGCCCTTCTATCACCCACCGCTATCCCCTTTTCACTGTAGACATAAGCCTTGGTACGCCTATCAACAAAGGAACCTTCATATTTGACACTGGTAGTTGGTTAACTTGGACTCAATTGCAAACCTTGCATCAACAGTTTCAAACAAGATTACCCTATTTTTAACCCTAGAACTTCAAGATCCTACCAAATGGTTTTTCGTAATCGCAGCCTTCCTAAATGGTTCGTATGCACGAATAATGGATGTGGCTACAACACGACGTATTTAACTAGACAAACATCAGGAGGCATTGCTTCAATGGACACTTTTACCTTCCCATCCAACAACCAAGCTCATGAACAGATAGGGGGCATTGTTTTTGGTTGTGGAATTAATAATCCCTATGCCATAAACCCCGACACTGCAGTAGGTGGGATAATGGGAATGGACCGATATCCCATTTCTCTTGTACGCCAATTAGGTAATAGAACAATGCATTGCTTTTCTTATTGCCTACCACCATTCGACTCCTCCATCAAATCTTCATTTTTGAGGTTTGGGAACAAGACTATTATAAAAGGAGAACATATCTAAACAACCCGTATTCTACCAGGCACGAGCTATAAACTTAGTTTAAGAGGCATTAGCATTGCAGGACGATGATTAGTACTCCCATGGGGGACCTTTCTTGGAGGGTGCCTCGTTGACTCGGGTTCTTCACTTAGTCTCATACAACAAAGAGCTTACAATGTTATTCTAAATACATTTAGGTCACATTTTGATCAGTTCAACAACCTCACGAAAGTCACTGGTCACCCAAGAGATCTTTGCTACAAATTCCCTGATGGTTTTAGAAGTTTTCCAAGCATGACATCCATTTTCAAGGAGCCAATCTCGAAGTTGGAAGGACAACACTGTTTAGGTTTGTAAGAAACACCTTCTGCATAGAATTGGTGGGGCATCCAAAGGCATTAATTCTAGGCGCATATCAACAGCAGAATGTACGGTTACTACATGACCTTGACAAGTCAAAACTCGCATTTGTCAGGGAGGACTGCACAAAAGATAGAGCTTGATTGTCCAACGTGTCAAACTGATCAGACTCACCACATTTAAAAGAGATTTCTCCGATATAAGACTTAAGAAAATAGATTCATTATCTAAGACATGATATCAAAGTCACAAAACAAAGACTTTTAACTTTGAAAAAATTATCAATTACTACGGTCTGCATAGTTAGATAGACAAAATTGGGGTCTGATACCTATGATTGATTGAAATCCTACACAAAAAGTCGATGGGAAAGCTACCATATGTCTTGAACAATGATATATGGTTTGCTATATGAAATTAATCTGTTTTTTTTTGATTTGTTACTAGTTTTGTTATTTTGTTGAATTGAGTTGTGTGGATTTTAATATGTATAAAAGATTAAAAAAAAAAGAGTTTCATTTTATAGTTTTGTATATGTTTTTTTGACTCAAGTGAGAGTTTTGAAGAAAATTCAGTTAAGTTTAATTTGTATTATTAAAAAAAAAAAAAAAAAGAGGATTTTTGAGTTTTTTCCTCTAATTCCCACTGAAAAAATATTCTTTCTTCAGTTCATTTTCTTTTCTCAAAATATTTTAATTGGAATACACAAGAAATATATTAACTCAATAACTTTTTCTTCAATTTCCCGTGGAGTAAAATTTATATCGGTACGAGTTTAGGGAATGACGGCCTATGATATGCATATAATCAACACAACAAGGGCTTTGAGGGATGGTTCCTCGGATGATTACAAGGAATCAGAGGAAGATGTGACAATTTGTTTCCGTGAAATCACCAACAAAAAATGACTGTATTCCTTCTTTTCTATTGAAATGATCATAAGCATTATTTACATTCCACGAAATTGTGCACCACAAATAGGAGCTAATAATGAGACCAACGACCCCATAGACAGAAATCATGATATTACTGTGAAGTCTAAGGATGATTAGATGTACAAAATCTTACACCAAATGCGAATTTTTTTTTTCCCACAATTGGTATAACAACTAATATGTCGTTTTGTGAGAAGATGACTAGTTTTGACTGTAACGTTGTTGGTGAATTGTTAGAATGTATGAAGTGGATAAGGATCTCCATTTTGGAACAGGAATTGTTGTCTCCAATCTTAACTCAACTGGAAAATAATACAAGTTACTACCAGTGATGGGGTGGGGTTAAGGGTGTTTTGGTGTTGGTTTGAATTGTAGAGGAAGGACTAGAAGAGATATATGTTTGTGACCCAATCGTGTCTTATTTCTTAGACAAGAAAAATATCGAATCCACACTATAAATGTCACTGCATTAAAATTGGCGTTGGCACATACAACACATGTTTTTGTCATGAATACAAAGGGTGTATGACTGAGACGATTCCCATCAAATTACCGAAAAAAAACTTGTTAGTGGAAGTTTGGGTTTTGGTAGACCCTATTACTATAAACACAATCTTTATTGATACTTCTAAAACTCCTGTGAGGCTTGCATGAGGTGCGTGACAAAACTACATAATTTTCCTAGATACTCAAAGAAACCTATGATTTGTGCTACAACAACTAACTAAACATGGCCAAAGGATACCTTCTTCAAACAGTATAATTAAAATATCAAACAAATAGTAAATTATTGAGATGATAACACCATTTTCTCTCGTCTTTCAGTAATTATTCATTAATTTCTCAGTGTAACTCAATCTCATACAATGGCATAGACAAAGGCTGACTTGGGGACCGTGATTTAACAAATTTCCAGATTTGGTCAGTCCTAGGTGCATATCCCTTCATTTTTTTCTTCTTTGAGGCGATGATCTCGTTCGTTCTAGGAAAGGGAAGCTCAAAATGGAGCAGATACTGCTAGCGTTATGGCTTATCTCTTGGCTAGGCACTAAAATGTCATATATAAGAAACCTGAATTTGTCGCATTGGTGAAGGTTTTAGATTTGGTGACAAATTCAATAAGTCTTTCCTAATGTCGATGCAAATTTCCTATTTTTTGCTTCAGCTTTCCTAACCAAAGCAAAAACCCATTTTTTGCTTCAATATTAGACTGAAGCAAATAACTCCAAAGCAACAGACCCTTTTTATTGTAGTGGTTATCTCTTCATTTAAGAAAGCTTGATTATATCGAATCTAAGGAGATAGTATATCCGATGCACTCACACCCTCCTTTTTCAAAAGAAGGAAATTGACCACTAAGGGTGAAAATTAAAACAATACATACTACTTTGTATATATCTCTTAGAATCCTAGCTTATTCTTCACTAGTCAACATGACTGGAAGAGTAGCTTTTCTAGCAGCAAGGGTCTTTTGTAGCATCTTAGCACTCTCTTATCTCCCTTGCATTCTTTCAAAATCTAATGGTTTTAGCTTAAAGCTCATTCATAGAGATTCTCCAGAGTCTCCTTTATACACTGCAAATCTTACCACCCTAGAAAGATTTCAAAGAGATCTCGAAATTTCTAAATCTCGAGCTTCCTATTTGCAGTTATTAAGCAAAATGAGGATTGAAAACGAAACTTTTATTCCAGATTCCATCCGCCCTTTACTCACCCAACGTGATGCCCTCTTTACAGTAGACATAGGCCTTGGCACCCCCAGCAGCAAAGGAACCTTTGTTTTTGACACAGCTAGTTGGCTTACTTGGACCCAATGCAAACCTTGCATCCAATGTTTCCAACAAAAATATCCTATTTTTGACACAAGAACTTCTACATCCTATAAAATGCTTTTTCGTAATCACAGTCTTTCTAAATGGTTCAAATGTAATGACTATGGATGTGACTATTCTGTAAAGTACTTAACTGGAGAGTCATCAAGAGGTATCGTCTCAATGGAGACCTTTACCATCCAATCCAAGAACCGAGCCCCTGAGCCAGGGGCGAAGCCAGACAACTTTTCTGGTGTGGGCAACCTTAAACGGGTCACAAATGAGCGCATAGAGAATGTAGTTTTTGGTTGTGGTGTGGAGAATAGTGGCTCTCCAATCCCTCACCCTTTAGTTGGTGGGTTCGTTGGAATGGACAGAACTCCCACTTCTCTAATACGCCAATTACGTAGCAAAACCATTCAAATATTTTCCTATTGCCTGCCACCATTTTCGTCCCGTTTCAAAACTTCATTTGTAAGATTTGGGACAGAGGCTATCATAAGAAGAGAACACATCCAAATAGCGAGCTTTCTACCAGGCAGCACAAACTACAAAGTGAACTTAAGCGGTATCAGCATTGCAGGACGACGATTACAACTCCCAACAGGTGTCTTTCGTGATGGTTGCCTCATTGACTCGGGTACCTCACTCAGTCTCATAGAACAAGAAGCTTTCAATGTTATGTTTATTGCATTTAGGTCACATTTTGATCAATACAAAAGCCTCACAAGAGTTGCTCTTCCAGCAAGAAGTCTTTGCTACAGAATCTCAAAAGGTTTTAACAATTTTCCCACCATGACATTTCATTTTCTAGGAGCCAATCTTGAAGTTGGAATGACAACACTGTTTAGTAGGTTTGCGAGAAACACCTTCTGCCTTGAAATGATGGGACATCTACATGCAACAATTCTAGGGGCATATCAACAACAGAATTTTAGATTTGTATATGATCTTGACAATGCAAAGGTTGCTTTTGTTAGGGAGGATTGCACAAAGGATAGGGGTTGATTTGTTTAAATTAGGTGTTTGTTTTTGTATGTGTGTTGAATAATGAAACATAATCCTCTTTTACAATATCTGTAAAGGAAAACATAGCGCACAAGACTTCGATCATTATGAAGTTTGGGGAGTATGAGAAACAGGTGGTCTTACCCGTGTGTAGAGATATTATTGCGAGAATGAATGATTGGATATGTAGCTCATAAGTCCTTAGGGTGATATGATTAGATCCTCAACGCACAATTCTTATGATTTTGGTGGTAATTTCGAATCAATTTGAGAAAATCTAAACACCTATATTGTAACTTATATTTTTTTTGATTTCTAAACCCATTGAAATGACCCAAGAATTTTGCTATTTCGAGATTTTGCTAGTCCTTGAGAACAGCATGGCAACGGATAATTAAGAATCAAAGATTCAAAATAGGTCCAGTTCAGGGGACAAATCAATAGGAAAGGAAATTTGCTTTGCAAGAATAAGAATGAACTTCTATGAAATGGAAGAGTTTCACAGAAATTGTCTTGATCATCAGATATCACAATTTTGTCATGAAACTTATGTAATCCCCTGGCTTCTGAAATTTATGGAATGACATATTTAGGCCACACACAGATGTCTGTAGGAACTCTGATCGGGTGAAATTGATATCCAATTCCCATCTCACAATGAGATTTGAAGGCCAGATGTGTCGTTAGATCTTAGAACAGAAATGGCACTGAACCAGAAAAGGTTAAGCTAGTAAGATCTGATTACAGAGAAACTTAATAAATAGGTATATAACTTCTAAATCTTTAAGCATATCCAACCCTTATTACCCTGCTATTAATAATTCTTCCTCACCGCGAAAATCCGAGTGTAAACTTATGGGATTACCATAATCACTTATTTTCTCACACTGCAAATTCATCTTCCATACTGAACAGAAACCATATCTCATTCACCCTATTATCAAACTCAAATGGAGAATTGTACTGTGCCACAGAGTAAATTGTCGCGGTCTCTCCAGCATGGCTTTTCTCAATGGCAGCCGACCAAACTGTGCCAAAGAGACTCTCTTGCAAGGCGGCAGCTTCCTCTCCAACGGTCAAGTCACTCACAAATCCACCGAATTGCCTCACGGCTACGTATTGTTGATCCCATTTCTGCACATGGAGGCCTTCTGCTGGAGGCGGATCTGGTTGGTTCTCCTTAGGGACATAGAAGCTTACCACAAAAGACGTGGCGCAGAATGGTCCATCACTTGGTGAGACTTCGGTGAGCACAGGGGCTGTCATTTCTATCTTCTCTGAGTAATTGTTATTCCCTTGAATATAGTCAAATAGCCTGCCAGGAGAAAAAAAAAACTAAGGGACTGGTTTTGTGGTTCTCATTTGAGTATTTTGAGGATGAGCAAGAACATGAGGTCTTGTGCTACCCTATCTAATACCGGTTGATAGTGGAACATTGTGAGGGAATCAGATAACAGGTACCAATCTAATCCTATTGTGTCATCGTCGGGTGGTGGACTTTTGGATCACATTTAGTATTAATCCAGTTTAATATCCAGATACTGACCCGATATGTTTATTGTATGAATCCTCATAAAATAGTGTGAGGGAAAAAAATTAAGGGTATGGTTGCAATAGCATGAGGCCATGTTCTACCCCATCTAATGGTGAATGGTGCAAATATACCAATTAACAAATTGCAGGTGGAGTACCATGGCTACTAAAAATAGTGGTGACAATTCAGTCTTCTTGTTTTCTGCTCGACTCGTGTCATTTTGAATTCATATCGAGGATTAGTTATTCCTAATTGAACTTAATTAATAAATTGTATCATATGTTCACAATAGGGTCGGCTTGTATAATCCGTAAATTAGAATTCATTTTTGGGACCCTTTCTATCATTCAATCAAGTGCACCATCTTAAATATTTTTTTTTTGATTTTACGGTAATAGATGTTCAGGCAGCTTACACTAATCCCCTTTTTGATCCAAGTAAGGATAGCCTGTACATGTCGAGACCTAGTATTCAGATAAATTTCTCGTAGTCAGACCCAAAAGATTGCTAAGATTTGAAATTAATATGTCCTAATTTACAAGCTTGTTCCTGCTACTCTACTTTTATAAGCAACCACAAACTGATAGGTTTAGTAGTGTAATAAAGATGACGAAAAGAATAGTGAAATTCTTACTGCAAGAAACCAGTTCTGGTGCCTTCAACGATAGAAATGTCTTCAATGGCGGCGGTTGACATCCACACCGACGAATTGTAGCGGCGAATTTCATAGCCATTGCCGGAATGAATAGTGTCGTAGCCCGGACACTCGATACTGCTGCAAGGTAGAGGTAATTCGCCGACATGGTGGCCAGGAATTTCAGGCAGTTTGGACCCGTTTGAGTTCGAGAGGAGGCTCAAGAGCATTGATAGCTTAAAGAGATTGAAAACAGCCATGTTGCAGAAGGATTCAAGAGTACTCTGCCCCGTTGAGAGGTTACTTTGATAAGAACCAGTTTTTGGCTTTGGTCCACTCGTTTATAGGAGATGATTGGGTTTCTTTAGAAGCCGTAGGCTGTCGGATAAGACCTCCCATACAAAAGTAACGACTCTAGGGAATTTTATCAAGTGGTTTACACTATTACACGGTGGTGGAGACCTTATTGGAATCTGGAAGGCATATCCCACCCAAAAAATATCATGGTAAGCAATGCCACAATGCAACTTGACCACGGTAGTAAAGAAAAAATTTTAGTATCGGACTTCTAAATCTTACTATTTTAAGAGACATTTTTATAATTTTTGTAAGTTCTTTTATAATCAAAAAAATTTATCACCTTTGGGTAATTTATCACATTTATAGGTGTTTTTATTATTACTAGTAACGCACGATGCATTGTACGTGAACATATTTAAATAATAATTTTTTTAAAAAAATTAACTTATATTTGTAATTAAATTGAACAATAAATTCTATAGTAAATAATTAATTCTTATTTTAATTATTGATTTATTATACTCCTTTTGAAGTATTTAATTTGTCATTTTTTAAGTATCTCCTCGGCCTCTTCAAAAATTTTATTTGTTGTTTATAGTGGAGTTTGAAAATTGTTATTTTTGAGTATTTGCACATCAAACTTATTATCAATTTATTATAATTTATTAACAAAGATATTGATTACATTGTAATACTATTATTTGTATTAATATTATGATATTGTTGAATACCCAAAAATCAAGTATGAAATATATTTGATCTTAGAACCTAATTTGGCAATTTTATATTAATAAAATTATAGATCATGCTATTTATGTATCTGTATTATACAATTATTAGAGTTTCTCAAAGTTATAATTGTAATTAAAGATTTAACTTTTATAGAATAAGTGAATAGTTAAAGACCAAATGCTATCTTATAAGAAGAACATGTGGGGGGTATCATTGACTTTATAGTAATAATTAGCGATAAAATTAAAAGTTAAAATTTTTTCACAATGTTGATATTTAAAAATAGTATAGATAGATATAGATGTGGATATAAATATAAATTGTGAATGTTTTCATCACTATTGCGATAACTATTTTTGCCTCTTTTATTTTGATATAAAAAAATTATTATTTTTGTAGATAATTTAATATATGTTGTGGGTATTTTTATCACTTTTTCAGTACTATTACAGTGATAAAAACACACATAAATGTAATAAAAGTTGATACGGTACACCAAAAAAAATTCGATACCACATACAACTTCTAAACAATGAAACACTTTGACTTGAGTTCTCATCTCCCCGGTAACTTCTAACTTTAATTGATATTTATTTTTATATTATTTTTAATCTGAATTTAAATTTTTACTCAAATTTAAATAAAAATTTTGAATAAAAATTTTGATTTAATACGAGAACTTCTCAAATTTAAAGGTTGGATCTTAAAAGAAGTTTAAAATCTGATTATTACATATTTGAATAGCCTTTTATTATGAGTTTATACAAATTTAAATTTAAGTTAATATTTGTGGAAGAATTAGAGATGCTTTTGACGAATAATTATAAGTATTCAAAGATATATTCTATTGATGTTGGTCACATATGACATTGTCTTGGAGAGAATCGTCGATACAATAAAAATCATAAAAATTTAATGAAGTATGTATATAATAATAATTTATTATAGAGTAAAATTAAAAAATATATATTAAAGAAGATTTAAATTCCCGTTAAATTAGTGGTGAATTTCAAATAAGACTATCTTTGGATCCAACAATGATCATAGAGTACATCATCAAAAAAAAAAAAAAACGAAGAAAGAAAATCATGGGTCGGGTAAACCCGGTTTGATCCATTTCCTAGAAGAAGAACACACATTGGTTCGGCCCACCACTATACCTACGGAGACAGCTTTGGGAGGGTTTTGGGGGTTTGCTCGTCTTTGAAGTTTGAAGTCGTCGAGACTTGAACAGTTGAAACTCACGGCAGACAATCCGGCAGCGGCAACAACCCTCACTGTCATTTCAATTCCACCATAGGCAAGCATTTAATTAACTTTTTGTCCTCTCTTCACTCTTCTTTTAGCTTCGAATTTCAAACCCCCCCAAGTCACTGTTGTGTCTGTGATTCATTTTTCATTTGTTGATTTCGAAAGAGTTATAAGTAATGACTCTGTTATGCATTCAATTTATCACATATGGATTCATTCTTCTACTTGTATGTTTGACATTGAGTCAGATTTATGAGTCCTCAGATAGTTTTAATAATTAGAATCTTGTCCGATTTGTATGCTTATTCGAGAGCCATTATCGAGTTTGGTGCTGTTAATGAATATGCTAGGGAGAGATGAACTGAGTAAAAACTTAATATTTAGGCTTTACTTGTAATGAACCCATCGGTGGAATTTGTCTATGAAAACAAGCTTACAAGGAATGGCTGTTTAAGAGTTCATATACATCCATCTAGTCTTATAATTAACCAGCTTGCAAGGAATGGACATTCAAGAGTCCATATACACCCATCTAGTCTTATATTTAGCCGATGTGGGATCGTGATATTTTACCACACATTTGTTACCGACATTCATGGCTATTAGCTCTTACCCTTTAACGGCTCCACTCACGTATTAGTATTCAATGAGATAGCACTATATCCATACATAATACTAAGTCATTTTAATCAAGTCTATAGGTCGAGCCTTATGTAACTTGACCACAGAGAGCCGCAACCCATACTTCGATCCTATACTCACATTGGTGGCTAGTTTTTATACCAATGTTATGAACTCATGGTTACAACTTGTTCCTGGAAACAAACCTGCAAGGAAAAGATGCCTAAGTGTTCATATACGCAACATCACGATTATGAGCTTTAACTATGTATAAGAAGTGGTAAATATATTTTGCAAGTTAATAGTTGTAGTCATGTTAGTTATATCTTGGTTTTTAAATCAAGTTTTGGATAGTGGATGATTTTGAGGAAACAATGTTTGGCTGATCTTGTGCACAATGATTGCCCAGCACTATGCTGCAGGTGGTTTTTTGTAGCTGGATTTGATGGTTGCCTTACTCATCTGAATGTCTACATCTATTTTCGTTATTTCCTCCTTCAATGTGTTTCTCTTCGATTTCAATTGGTTGTCGGATCCACTTTCCTTCTGTTATATTTTTTTTTGAGTGACACTCGTTATTTATAAGTAAATCCTTTCACCAATAGGTGTACGACCCACTACATATGTGTTGGTACCCCAACCATATATGGTGAGTGATATACCTTAGTGAAATTAAAAGAAAGTGAAAATAGAGGAATCTCACTCCATGCAAAATAAGTTCTGTTGGCTACTTTTTCCGGTTTTAGGGATATGTAGGTAGCCAGACTAAGATAGAGAGGAAGGTGATGAAATATAGCAGGTACTTATGACGGATTTGATTATCTAGATGTTCTCCTGGTGCAGCCCCATTTAGCTGTGCTGAGCTTCTAAGATATGGCTCCATGATTATGCAACTGATTGCTGGCTGATTCCTCCTCCGTCTGCTTGTATTTGAAAAAAAAAATACTTTCTTTTCCCCTTAGCACTACCTAATCCATTAAGATTAATTCATTGATTACTTTTTTTTCTTGTTTATTGCCTACTTCATCAGTTTCTTTCTTCTAGCAACTTCCATGTAATAATCATTTGATTTTTCTGTACTTTCTAAACACGTTTACTTGGTGTGGTTCCCACTTAGAACTCAAGTTCAAGCCGTATTTCTTTGTCATTTCACTTACTGACTTTCATTTTGGTCAATATATTAAGTTGTGTTGCAAGTTGTTTATATCAAAACGCGCAGCTCAGCTGTATTGCTCTGTGTTGCTTAATCAGTATGATGTTATTTTACTCTATTTAAGCCAAATCCGTCGTGCTATGTTTGAGTAAGTGGCTTAAGGCTGGCCTTTGGAGATGATTTTTCACCTTGATTCCATCTTGTTTTGACTTCCAAATTTTGGAGTAACAGCTAACAAGCAATGATGTCATAGGAATGTCCAGCATTTGTATCCCTGCTACAGGAGAAAATGTTCAGGTGTTCTCCTTAAAAGGGTCTATGTTTAGAGTTTAGAGTTTAGGGTTTAGGGTTTGTTGTATCTTATAATTATATAAAAGAATAAACCTTTGGATAAGAAAATTGTTCCAAAAATAATTTTTTGTTATTGTACCAATAATGAGTTCTCGTCGTAGATTTTTGTTTGATTTATTTGTGACGATTAATCATGAAAATAATAAATTAAAGTGAAATAATAGCATAAGAAGACTTTACATGTGCCAAGTTGTCACTGGATGTGGATGGAAAGAAAAGGAGTTTAATACCATAGGCAGACACAAACCTTGTATGATATGAGAAGGCCTACCCCTTAATGTAAGCCACCATAACAAGTCTACTTTGAAGTTGAAGGAGTCTTCTTTTATGTGCAGAATATAAACATGTGCAGAGTAGAGTTTATAGTAACTGTGTATGCAAAAGGTTCAGTATTGTTATTTGGCCTAGAGTAATTTAGGGGTATCATTCAACTCATGTCGTGTTCACATAGACCGTGAATTAGAAACCGTAGGATTATCCGCTCTCTCTCTCTCTATCAAATTTAATGGTTAACGGGTTATTCATGTCTAATACTAATCCGACATTTCATTTTACATCATTTAGCCCTGCATATGAGATTTTTTTTTTTTTTTAATCTTTTGGATTAAAAAAACCAAGCTGTGGTCAATGGACTGATTCAAAGAAACTGCTATCTTTTCTTCTACTTGTATTTGACCAAAATATTCTATTTCCTCTTGGCGCATATCTCATCCATTAAGATCATTTCATTGGGAGAAATATTATTTAAATCTAATTTATTGATTTTTTTTTGTTGACCTAATCAATTTTTATTATTAGATTGATAGTGAATCCTACTTTTAGTTGGAACTCATTTACAATTAATGGTTATGCTACATTAGGTCAATAAATAAAGTCTAAATATTAATTTCTTTATTAATTACTTGTTTTAAGAGTATTAAATAAATGGTTGACTGCTAAGTGCTAACACCATTCTGCATAACAAGATTGTTATTACCAAATCATTCTTCTTGAATTAGTATAGCAGATGGCAAGTTCCGAGAATTTTACTTCATTTCTATATTTTTTCCCCTGAGGTTT